CTGCCAGGCGTTCCTCTGCCAGCACGTCGTGTTCGGCACCGCCGGCTCCCGAGGCGTTGCCTCCTGCTGGCCTCGCCGTGAGGCTGCGCTCCTCCCCTTCCCCTCCTTTTTGTTCATGCAAGCTTCGCGCGGCCCGCTTCGCGTCGACCGGACGAGGTGCGCCCTCGACCCGCGAATCAAAAAATTGTAGCAATCGACACCCCCTCCCCCGCCCGACGGGCGACAAAGCAGGGCAAATGCTGGCACCCCCCCCATCATCCCAGCCCAGCAACAGCGCAGAGAGTGCACACTGCGGCAAAATCTTGGACCACGGGCGGGCGCCCCGCGGGCACCTCGCAGTGGTTTTCGACAGGGATGGCGGGGGGGGGGGCAGCCTATTGCCTGCTTTGCGAAGGGCCACCATCCCTGTCAAAAAGCAATGCAATGTGCACTTCGCGGCTACATCTGGATCACGCGCGGCCACCCCACGATCACTGTCCATGGTCTGTTGACAGGGACGGCGGGGGTTTGGGCATAGTACCTGCCGCGCGGAGGCCCACCATTTACTATGATGGCCACTCCGCCGCGATTGTGCCTTGGTTTTCGTCGAGGATGGTGGGGACCAGCAAGTTTCCCGATGTGCGCGGGCGCACCTGGCACACTCTGCACGTTCCCCGAACGTGGCGCACCTGGCGAGGTAGGAGCATGCGGCACACCTGGCGCACGTGGAGCACGTAGCGCATCTGGCGCACAAGGCGTGCCTGGCACGATTGGGCCCACTTGGCACGTGAAGCACGATGGGAGCACGTGGCACATCTGGAGCACGTGGCGCACTTGACACACTTGGCGCACGAGTGGGCCCAGGGGCGCCGCGTGCGCCTGGTGCGCGTGGCGCGCCTGGCACGCGTGGGCGCACCTCGCCCTAGCGTCGCGCCACTGAGGTCTGCATTGGCTCCTGGTAGCTGTCCATCAGAAGACGGCCGCCGAATACGCGGAAACTTGGGTACAGCATGTGTGTTGGGAGGGCGGACGGGAGTGAGCCAAACAGTCTGCGTCTGGGATGAGCCTCTTGATCACTTCGCTCTGTTGACCGACATCCCCCCCCCCTCCCCCACCCGCCCGGCGACGGACCAGGGCCAATGCGGGCCCCCCCCCCCGCAGTCCCTGTCAAAAAACTGGCCAAGTGAACCTTGATGCAAAACTGAAGGGGCCCTGGGACACACAAATAAATACACACAAATAAAAATATCCCCCATAGTTTCCCATATGTTCTGGGTTTTGTCTTCCCCCCCACTTCCCATATTTCCCCATATTTTCTGGGGAATCGACGATCAATTGTGTCTGTGTTTTGTTTCCGTCCAGGAAAACCTGGACCGTGCGCGGGCGCCCCTCGAGCACTTCGCCTGGGCTTCTGAGGAGGGCGGCGGGGGTGCCGTCATCTCGTCTGCTCTGCACGGGCCTAGCACATCCCTTTCAGAACACAGTGCAAGATACACGTTGCGGCAAGATCTGGGCCGTGCGCAGGCGAGCCAGGAGCAGCCTGCCTTCGTCTCTGACAGGGACGGCGGCGGTGCCCTCACAATCCTCGCCCTGAACAGACCCACCACCACTGCCAACACACAACGCAAAGCACACCGTGTGGCAAAAACTGGTTCATGCACCGACACCCCGCGATCATGTTGCATTGGTTTTTGACAGGAGGCGGCGGGGGTGGGCCTCATATTGGCTACTCTTTGCAGGCTCACGATCCCTGATAAAAGCAATACAAAGTGCACATTGCTGCAAAATGCAGATCGCGCGCGGGCGCCCCGTCAGCACTTAGCCTTGGTTTTTGAAAAAATGGCGGGGGGGGCCTTCATATTGTCTGCTCTGCGCTTCCGACGGGACTCAGGAGCTCACTGGGATCGGAACCCCAGGCACGGATGCTGCCTATATGCTGGGATGGCCGGTGGGAATGAGCAACACGGCTTGCGGCTTGAGGTAGCTTGACCCCTCCCCCTACATCCTCCCCCTGGGTCTGGACGAGGCACCCCGCGACACATTGGAGCGTCCAAGATAGCCCAAGATGGTTCCAAGAGGGACTCAGAAGGCCCAAGATGACATCCGAGATGGCTCAAGATGATTTGCTTTAGTTGGTTCAAGATGGCTTCCAAGATGCTCCAAGAGGCTCCAAGAGGCTCCAAGACCGTCCAAAGACGGCTCCAAGTAGCCTCGGAGCACCCCCAAGAGAGCACCCAAGAGGCTAAAATCCTTTAAAAACTTGCGGGCAATGAATGTGGGGTGCCTTATCGCCTTTTCATTTCCAATGGCCTTCCAAGGCCTCAAGATGGCTCCAAGATGGCCACAGAGAGCTCCAAGAGATGCCCAATAGAGCCCCAAGACGGCTCCACGAGTGCCCAAGAGTGCCCCAAGAGGGTCCCAAGAGGCGATGTTAGGAGCTGCAGAGGGGGGGAGGGGGGGGCTAGGGACGCTCCGTTAGTTGACCGACGTCCTCCGAGATGGCATCAAGAGGGCCCCCGAAGCTCCGAAGGTAGCAGCAAGAAGACCGCCACCAAGAGCGCCCCAAGAGCGCCCCAAAGGGAGCTCCAAGAGGAGACGTGTCGAGCCCAAGAGAGGCAACTCTACTCCATGCCGCCCTCCTATTCCTCCCTCGTGACCCCCCCCCCCACCTCCTCACCGTCCTTCCCATATTCCTCCTCACTCCACCTAGGATTCACCAAAAATTGAATGAGAACGCGTTCCATCAAAACCACATCCGCGTGCTCGCTGCCATCCTCCTCGTCCCCATTCCTGCTCACCTTCCTTCTCCTCCCTCATCCTTATTCATCCCACTCTTCCTCCTCCCGCCTCATCCGTGTCATCCGCCCTTCCTCCTGGTTCTGCACAATCTTCTCATGAGCCCAAAGAAGAACCCAACCATGTGCAGCTGCGAGTATCACGAGGCAGGTTAAATAGAGGAGGGAGCAAAGGAGCAAAGAGCAGTGTGGCAAAAGTTGTGAAAGCAGCATGCAGACTATGCCGCGGGTCCGCTGGTGCATTCGGTGGAGCTCCCCGTGGAGCCATGAAACGTTAGAGTGCTCCAACATGGGTGGGGGAGACGCATGTGAACGGTGCCATTGGGAACTTCAGTGGAGCTTCCTATGTGGTCACGAAGCGAAGAGTGTGAGGGGTGTGCCGCATTGGGCGGGAAGATGCATGCGAACTGTGCCACTACTGTGACGCAGCGTGTGAAGGATGTGCCGAAGTAGGCGGGGGAGCTGCATGTAAACCGTGCCAAAAGGACCTTCGGTGGAGCCCCTTTCATGGGGCCGTGAAGCCCGTGAGGGGTGTACCGCAACGGGCGGAGGGGGCGCACGCAAGCTGTACCACTGGGACCTTCGGCGGAGCTCCCTGTGGGGGGCGTGGCCACAGAACGTGTGAATGGGGTGCCAAAATTGGTTGGAAACACGTGTGCGAACTGTTTTTTATATTAATATTATTTTTATATATATGTATATATACATACAAAAAAATCAAACAACATAAAAAAAAAAAAAAAAAAAAAAAAAAAAAAAAAAAAAAAAAAAAAAAAAAAAAAAAAAAAAAAAAAAAAAAAAAAAAAAAAAAACAAAAAAAAAAAAAAAAAAACAAAAAAAAAAAAAAAACGCATGCGAGCTGTGAAAATGGGGCCACCAGTGGAGCTCCTTGCGGGGCCAGGCCCCAGGGGTGCGTCGCAGTGGGCGGGGGAGCTGCACGTCAACCGTGCCAGGAGGACCTTCGGTGGAGCCCCCTTTTACGGTGACCCGAGACGTGCGAGGGGTGCGTCGAGATGGGCGGGAGAGGCGCATGCGAACGGTGCCACGGCGGCCTTGGGTGGAGCTCCCTGTGGGGCCACGGAACGTGTGAGGGGTCTGCCGACATGGGCGAGGGAGACGCATGCGATCTATGCCACTGGGACCTTCGGTGGAGATCCCTGTGGGGCCACGAACCGTGTGAGGGGTGTGTCGGTATGAGCGGAGATGGCGCATGCGAACTGCGCCACTGGGACAAAACGTTTGAGGGGTGTGCCGAAATGGGCGGTGGAGACGCATGCGAACTGTGTCACTGGGACCTTGCTCCCTATGGGGTCACGAACTGTGTGAGGAGCGTGCCGACATGGACATGCGGAGGGCAGAGGCGAGGATGGGAGGAGGGGAGAAGGAAGGAGGAGTGAGTGAGACGCGGGGCGCTGTCTCTTCAAAACGAAAATCCAATACCACAGGCTGGTTGGGGGATCACTTCGATGTGACCAGCTCCCTGTTCCACCGCATGCTGCACCACTTCTCTGATCAAGGCAACCTGATGCGGCATAGCTTTGGGATGGGCTGCTGGAGATGCACGAAGCGTCCAGGATAGGCTTCACCATCTAGGGAACAAACGAAAACGAGAGCCCTTGCTGAACCTAAAGTGATCCTTCTTTCAGCGTCTTCGCTGTACTGCTTCCCCCCCTCGACGCTGACACCCCCGACAAAATCGCTTCGTTCTGCCAGTTTGGGCACCCTTGGGAGAGCTGACCTTTGGCACCAACGGCCAGAACAGTGCCAGTAACACCCCAATTGGCCTTCTGGAAGCTACGCTGTGGCATGAAATTCAATTCACAAAACGTCGACCAGCTCGTGCCGCGCCCGTGTCAACGCTGACCCCCTCGAAGAGGCCCTCGAGAAAGAAGCCAACCATTTCTGCATCGTGCGAGAGCGCTCCACTGATCGACTCTTCTGGCAGATGGGCTTTCGCTGAGAATGTCGAAACGGAACCGCTGACGCCTGCGAGCGCTCCGTCCCAAGTCTCCTGCCTGGAAGCGCCTCGCGCGCACGCGCCTGGGGCGCTCCCGCCGAGGGCCTCGCCGCTGTCGCCGCCGTCGCCGCGGCAGTCGCCGTGGTCGTCGTGGTCGCCGTGGTCGTCGGCCGTGGTCGTGGTCGTCGCCACGCTCGCGGTCGCGGTCGTCGCGTGCTCGCGCCGTGGGCCGTCGAGACCCCGAGGAGCCCGGGACACGGGGCGGGCGCCTGCACCCTCGCACCCCAGCATCAGGAACTGCAGCACGTCGCTGCCGCTGAGCCACGCGAACGGGTGCTTCTCGGCCTGGGCGGCCCGGCGGGCGGATGGCGCACGCAGCCGTCGTGCCACCGCGAGAGGAGCTCCGCAGAAAGGACGAAGGGGTTCACTGGCAACGGCGAGCTTCGGTCACGAGGACGTTCCCCGACCTGGAGCCAAGGAACGGCCCGAAAACGAGAGCCCATTCTGAACCCAGGTCCTCGGTTCAGCGTCTTGACTGTACCCCCACTCAGTCTCCGTCTGCTCGTTTACTGGCTACGTGTGATAATCCGCGGCCCTGCCTTGAGAACGTAGCGGAGTGCCCCAAGGATCATACGCTGGCGGATACTGGAGACCCCCAGGAACTTGAGAAACACGGTAGCGGGATTCGCTGGACACCACTGCATTCAAGAGAGCGTCCAAGACGGCCCAGGGGCCCAGAGGACTGACCGAAAACGGCGCGAGAGGCCCCAAGACGGACCAGGAGGCACCAAAGCGGCCCCAGACCCCGAGAGAGCTCCAAGACGGCCCAGAGAGGCCGTCAAGACGGCCCCCGAAGGCGCCGGACGGTCCAAGAGCGCCCCAAGAACGGCCAGAGAGAGAGCCCCATGGTCGCCGAGGAGGGCCCCGGGAGGCCCCCAAGAAGGCCGAGAACCCAGAGAAGAGACTCCAACGGCTGGGAGGACACACTGCTCACCAGCGCGGCCCCACGTTCGCCCAGCATGTCAAGACACAGTTTTTGGTCTGCGGAGCGACAGTCAACCTCTTCCGTTAAAAGCTAGGCGGGCTACGCGCAGCTTCAATTAAGGAGACAGGGCACAGGAAGGCGGGGCCTCACACATGTCAAGACACAGGCATGTCCAAAAGGCAAGGGGCGGCGGTGAATCGCCGCGGGCGTCTTCAATTCGCCAGCCTAACGGGCCAGAGGCGTATTAAAATCTCTCGTAACAGGTGAAATGCATTGCATATATCTAGTTCGCGTTCGCGCGCGCATGACGGCCCCTGGGGACCCCGGACCGAAACTATCCTGGGCGGACCAGGGCCAACTCACGGGCAACTCCTGGGCAATTCTCGGGCAACTCCCAGGCAACTCCCAGGCAATTTCCGTGCAACTCCCGGGCAGTCGGTGTCACGGACGCCGAGACTCCTGGGAGCGGTCTTCGCGGCCCTCAAGATCGCCCCAGGAGCGCCACAAGGGACCCAAAGGGAGCTCCAGAAGGGCCCAAGAGCCAAGATTAATGGATGGACAATCCCAAGAGGCCCCCCAAGACGCTAAATGACATCGATTCTCTTTCGGCTTGAAAGGGATTTGGGCGTCACCTCCGTTTCGGGTTTCCGACCGCCCAAGACGGTCCAAGAGGCACCCAAGATCGCCCCAAGTCAAACAAAGAAGGTCCCAGGACGGCCCAAGACAGCCCAAGAGGGCCCCAAGACGGCCCAAAAGGCCTCCCGAGAGGGCTCCAGAGATTCCTAAGAGGACCAAAAGAGGGGGGTGCGAACTGACATGTCGAACCTTTCCCCGAAAAGATATCCTCCCGAGACCACCAGCAGGCCCCCAGGAGGCCCCCAAGACGCCTTTGGAGTGGCCACAGACCCCCCCAAAAGGCCCGAAGGCGCTCCCAAGAGGCCCAGGAGGTCTCCAAAATACCGCTACTGCAGGGCCTCCCATGATGTCCCAAGAAGTATCCCAGAGAGGCGTCTTGTACACAACCAAGCTTGGCCCCAAGAACACTCAAAGAAGCCACAGAGAGGCTTCATCCTCTTCCTCCCGTCTTCCTCAGTCTCCTCCTCCTCCTCCTCCTCCTCCTCCTCCTCCTCCTCCTCCTCCTCCTCCTCCTCATCCTCCTCCAAGCTCGCCACGAGCACACCGACATATAGTACCAGTGATACAACATGTGCCGGCGGAGTGAGCAAAGCGATAAAAAATTCGGCGGGCCCCCTGCGGCCCCAGGCCGTGTATGAAACTAGAAGGGTCGATGATGAGCTGATGAAATGGGTATGATGGCATTGGCATGCGTAAGGCATGCTAAGGAGGGCTCCGCGCATTGCAACGGCCCACTCTCATGGGGCACGAAGACTCACAAGTTGAACATGCTCCGATGGCCCCGATTGCCTGTTTTACTCGGGGCATGCTCGACAAATCGGCGTCGGAGGGGACTCTGAATCTGATAGACTGTCGTTTCGCTCGGGGCATCCTCGACAACTGGGCTTCGGAGGGGACTCTGAATTTCAAAGACGGCAGTTTCGCAGGAGACATCCTCGACTGACCAGCCTCGGAGGAAACTCCGAGGGCGCAAATACGGTCCCAAGAAACATTGCAACGAGATATACCGACCCTCGCCAAGGCCGTACCACGAACATCTACTCATTGCGAGATTGGCGTGCGAAATTCCCCCTGGGGGCCCGCCGTGACCCCCGCTCTGCGGATTCAATGGTTCTGAATGCTCAGAACTGCCAAAGATCGGGTCAAAACTGCTCCAGAAGATCCGAAATAGGGTCTCAAGACGGTCCAAGAGGAGCGTAAGACCCCAGGTCCACAAGAGATCCCAAGAGGGTCCCCCGAGTCAGCCCTAGAGATCCCTAAGAAAGCCCTAAGACACCCCCGAATGAACCCGAAGACGGCATTGAAGGGCCCCTGGAGGCCCAAGAGCGGCCCAAGACGGCCAAAGAGTGCACCAAGATGGCCCAGGAGAGCCTAAAGAGAATCACCAGAGGATCCGACGAAGGTCCAAAGAAGGCCCCAAAAGAGCCCTGCGACAGCCCCAAGTCCGCCCAAGAGGGTCCCTCCAGGGACCGATTGCAAAAAGGTTGGGAAACCTGTCGGAGTCATTTTGGGGCATTTGCGGGGCCCCCGTACACCCCCCCCCCGGACGGCCCCACAGCACTTGGGGGAACCAGATTTTGACCGCAGGCGAGCGAACTGGGGGGGCCGTGCCTGGGGCACGCCCTCTCGGCACCCCAACGCTTGCTGCACCCTCTGCGTTTGCCTCGGCATGTCTTGCGCCCCCCTCCCGCGGTGCAGGAGAATCTCCGGGCGACGCTCATCATAAATGCACTGCACCACCTACACTCCCCCCCACCCAGCGGCGCGCACAGAGCCCGAGGCTGAGGGGGCAGGCCTCCTCAGAGGGCTCGGAGAGGGCATCTGGCCTCCCGAGAAATTTCCCGAGCCGTCTCCGCAGACAGAGGCGGCCTCTAGCAGACCAGGGGGCTCCTGAGGAGCCAGGCCGCCTGAGAGGACCCACCCCCTCTCGCTTACATCGCCCGCGCGCCGCCGAATCCTTCCCTGGCTCCCTCATCCCCGCCCCTGGCGAGGTGGCGACGTCCGGACCCGGACCCCCCCACCAATCCTCGACCCTCTTGCACCGATGGGAGGCGGGGGTGGGGCTTGGATTCCGCAACGTGCTCGACGAGCTCCGAGCCCTACCCCCGCCGCCCATCGAGCTGCCCGAAACGTTGATCGGCGGGGGCCGTGCTCGGATGTCGTCGCCGGTTGGCAGTGCAGGGCAGCGGGCCAGCTTCGTCATGCAGTTCATGGTGACCGGGCCAGCCGCCGGCAGCGCCGACGAGCCTGCCCGCGCGCGGCCACCTGGCAAGGCGGTCCGACAGCCAGCGCGAGAGCCGCAGAGCGGACCACCCCCCCGGCGAGGCCGCCAGGGAAAGGTAGTCCGACTCTCCTGCTGATGTACTCCTCCTCCCCCTCCTCCACAACCTCCTCCTCCTCCTCTTCTTCCTCCTCCTGCTCCTCCTCCTCCTCCTCCTTCACAACCTCCTCCTCCTCCTCCTCCTCCTCCTCCTCCTCCTCCTACTCCTCCTCCTCCTCCTGCTCCCTCCTCCTCCTCCTCCTCCTCCCTCAACTCCTCCTCCTCCTCCTCCTCCTCCTCCTCCTCCTCCTCCTCCTCCTCCTCCTCCTCCTCCTCCTCCTCCTCTGTCTCCTCCTCCTCCTCCTCCTCCTCCTCCTCCTCCTCCTCCGGTCCTTGTCCTTGTAGATATATCCTCCTTGTCGCACCCCGAGGCCGGTCGAAAAAGCGGGCCGGGTGTTTCAGCTGAGACTTCCTCACAACGTACGACCCTGATGTTTAAAAATATTGACAACCGTTTCACAGATGGAGGGCGGGTCGTTCTCCAAATGTGGCTCTCGCCTAATCGCCGCGCACACTCGTCTTACGAATGCGCAAAGAGTGTTGTTGATTGGAGGCGGGTGGTTTTCAAAATGCGTTTGTCGCCCCAGCGCCGCGCACAGTCGATGTAAAAACTTGCAAGAATTTCACAATTGAAAGCGGGTGGTTTTAAAAACGGGGCTGCCGCCGTAGCGCCACGCACATTGGTTCCACAATTGTGAAGAATTCCAATCAGTAAGGGCGGTTCGCTTTCAAATGTGGCACTCACCTTAGCGCCGCGCACATTCGTCTGAAAAATGCATACGAGCTTCGCGGATTGAGGGCGGGTCGTTTTCAGAATGTGGTTGTCGCCTTAGCGCCGCGCACGTTATACCAAAAAAACAAAAATGCCAGGGTTTCATTGTTTCTAGTGGTTCACGTACCAAAAAGACTGCATCTTGGAACGGCTCAAGATTGTCAGGGCGCAAGCCGGTTACGTTGACTCGCGGCATTGAAGTCCCAGGACTAATGTCCTTGCACGCTTCAGGAGCGCCAAGACGTCACAGTCAGGTTAACTCGTGGCGTCGAAGTCCTGAAACTGCTTTTTTGCCACGCTGCAAGACGTTCACACGGTTGTCACCCAGAAGGCCAATCCCTCACTGGAAATGACCCCCTGTAGGGGCCGATTGAGAAAGATACTGGAGGAAGGGTGAATTTCAACAACGTTGATGGGTCTTGGGGTTTACAATAATCCTCCTCCTAGTGTTCCTCCTCCTCCTCCCCCCCTTGTTCCACCTCCTTTCCTCGCCCTCCTCCTCGATCCATCTAATCAGATTCCTCTTCCTTTTAATCCTCCTCCGTAGGCATGTTGGCTCATGCGATGAGTTCGACAGGGGAAGAAGTAGATACAACTGGTTCGCGGATGACAAAACAAATACAATTCTGGCACGTTTGCCCTCTCTGTCAATATGTTCTTCGTGTTTCCCAGTCCCGAATAACCTGCGCCGTGTCCTGGCGCAGCTGTGCCCCCGTGGCGCAGGGGCCACAGACGGGGTTGGGCGCGCGAGAAGCAACTTGACTACTCAACCAAGCCGTACGACGTCTGCGGCGCGTGCGGCCTTTGGGACTTTTAGGCCTACGGGAACTGGCGTTGTTCAAAATGTGAAGGATTGTACCAACGTGAAGAAACCAGATGGATCTGGAGAAGCCGAAGTCCAATCAGATCCTGAGGTTCTAGGAGTGGAACGAGCTGCTGCTCAAGCCGTTAATGTTGCGAGGCCTGATCTGCAAGGTCAACTTGGAGGCCTGGTTGCGGAGACCAAGGATGGCGATTGGACGGACGCTAAGATCCCTGATGAAGCGAGTCTCGAGCGCACCAGGCTCACGAAGCAAGTGGAGACCTCTGCGAAAGCTGTTTGGCTCGAGCCGCAGGACGTTCACCACCGCCAGAACCTCGCGCAGAAGTTCGAGGACCAGTTCACCGAAGCCAGGGTTGCTCCTCACAAAGCTGAGGCGGCTGCACGAGAGGCAGATCAAAAGAAATACAGCTGCGGATAAGGCCGCGGCAGCTTTGAGTTAAGGTGGATGGACCAGCGCAGAGCGACGGGAGCAGCAAGATGCTCGAGCGTGCCGCGCGACCTCAATCTGCACCGGCTGCCGCACCTGCAGGACAGCAACCAGGACGTGCCACTGGTTCCGCGCCCGCAGGTCAACCTCGGCAGGGCGCTGCTGCAGCCCGAGGCGGAGCACGTGCGGCCGGGCCACAGGCCGGAGGCGGCGCCGACAGACCAGTCGATGAAGATGCTCCATCGCGCGGGGTTCAAGGCGTTGGCGAGGCACCTGACCCCCACGCGACGGGCGCGGCACAGAGTCGCGCCCAGTGCTCAGACAGGCGGCCCGCGCTCAACATTCGGGAGCGGCCAAGAGGGGGGTGTCCAAGAGGAGGGGTGCAAATCATGACCGGCGGCACGTGCGCGGCCCAGCGGGGGGGCCTGGGACATTATGAAATAAGAAGAGTCGCCTTGAAATCCGAGGAAAAATCATGGCCCGCGCCATGAGATCCACCACCCCCTAGTCATCACCCCCCTCTTTTCCGCTCCCGAAACACGGCCGAGCGGCTCGCGGCTGCGCAGAAGCAGATCCGGGAGGCTGCCATGGCCTCCGCAGCATGCCGGCGGCCGCGGGGGATCGGAGGGGCCGGCGACGCGGCCCCAGACGCCGCCGAGGAGGTGGCCGCCCTCTGCGCAAGGGGTCGCGCCGGGAGGGCCGACGCCCGACGGCGACCAGGGCAAGATGGAAGGGGCCCCAGGATACACCAATAAATGCACACAAAGTAAAATCGTTCCCCATGTGTTCCCATATTTTCTGGGTGTCTGTCTTCCCCCCCCACTGCCCATGTTTTCCCATGTTTTCTGGGGAGTCGACGATGAATTGTGTCTGTGTGTTTTTTTCTCTCCTGAAAGATGGAGGAGCTCGTGGCGCCGACGCCCAGCAAGAAGGCAGCCAAGGAGGTCAGGGTGGCCCAGCAGGCAGCAGGAGTCGAGTGCAAGAACGTCTCCACGGCAGCGGAAGTGGAGATGCGACAGCCGCAGCTTCGACAGGCGTGAGAATGCTATGTTGAAATGTCGCACCGTGGAGCGCCAGGGCTAAACCCCTTTGAATGACACGCATCGGAGTGACACGCCTTCATGTTCCGTATACTCCGCCAGCCCCCTGCCAACGCGAGATTGGCGAATTGCGACGTTGCTGAGCTGAAAATGGAGCCCCCACTTTATCCCGGCCACCCTTTCCCCTGGAAGGGGCGCCCATGGGGGGGGGGGCCTGCAGCGAGCACAACTACGTTTTCACGGCGCCCTGCCGCACTCTGGGCAGGACCGAGAAGTGGGGTCTGGCAACGGTTGGATGCTTCTAGAGCTGAAGACCCACGGGTGTGCGATGGCTGCTGGGCTTGGTTACATGGCGTGCGACGCAGGTGCATCGGGTGAGAATATCAAGAAAATAACCATATCAGCACCTTCGTCAACTATCGAGGCACTCCTTGGTTCCTGATGAAAGAATTTAACCTCGACGTTGATTTGATAGCGTCATACGGGTTCCCGGAACAACCCGCTCACGCGCGACCCCGCCGAACGGGGTCGACGTCACATGCAGCATGGGAAAAGGATCGCCCATCGACAATGCGGTCGCAATTGAGACGACTGCCGCTTCATGCAAGTTGGGAAATACCACACATCACATTTCAAGCTGCATTCCTGATTGAACGCGAGGCCACCGCACAAGGCACCCACCCAGATCATGGATAAGCGAAGGACACCAGTTACGCTGGCAGAAGCACACGGCACCACCCCTGGTCGAGTTGCCTTGAAGCTGAAATGTCTGAACGGAGGCCAGTTCAGGATCCTTATCATAATAAGTGGGTAAGCGTGTTTCGCAGGACCTCACTGATACGAACACGCTCTGGTCGAGAGCAATTGAACATAGATGAATTCACACTGTACCTGACTGTGGGCATAAAGCACATATACGTCAGGGACGCAACAATTTCACGAGCGCGCGTACCACCACGTTAACAGACCAGAGGCAAAATGATGTTTTGCAGAGCCAGCGTTGAGGCTCTGGTCTGTGGCCTATAAGAGACTGTTTGAAATGCGAGATGCTGCCAATCACGGGCATCACAGAATGCGTCGAGCTCTCGGTGCTGGACTGGTTGACCTCAGCTGGCGAGAACCTCACTTCGCCGCTGGTTCACCTGCCGATCAGCCCACTGCTGAGTGGCAGGCTCAGCTTTCTGAACCTGAGTCGGCTGCTCCCCATCAGTGCCAGAAGATGCCAGATAGTTGCTCGGCCATCCTGACCAGCGCGCGGCAGCAGACTAGGACAGCATCTGGTTAGGCGGTGAAGGAATGGCTCATGAAGGCGCCCCTCCGAAGGGCTACGCAGGCCCGCGTGGCTGAAGCAAAACCAGGGCGAACCTCTCGAGTGCTTCGTTGCGCCCAGCGGGGCCCCCCACTTGCCCAGTGAAGGCACATCGTGAAGATAGTCGGTGGGGCTGGTAGGCTGCCGGCCCATCCCATACGAGACCTGAACTAGGCGTTGGAGGACCTCTGGACTGAAGCCCTCGATTTGGCCCCTGAGCTGCCAGAATTTGAAGCTAAGGATGTATACATATATATATATGTGTATGTATACATGCATGTATAATTATAAACACACACGAATGCATGCATGCATACACATATGTATATATATACACACACATACATATATATATGTATATATTATATGTGTATATATATATATATTCATTTATATATATATATGGTGCGCGTAAATTTTGCATTGACACCACTGGCGCTGGCGCTGACCCCCGGAAGCTTCGGGAGTGTCTTGGGATGGACCCCTCTGCCGTTGAAGCCCGGTCGGGCTCTGTGGACAGCGCGAAGGGCCCGCGACGCGGCCGTGGCAGATTGCCCCAGAGGTCACCCTTCCT